AGGACGCTAGGTGAAAAATGAGAGCCACAAGCGTGCTTCTTCGAAGCCAAAACGGCACGGCCGTGATAGCAATTAACTTGTGATGCACATTTCAATCTTAGACGCCTATGGAGCAGTACTTCTCATATGATGAAAGAAACGGACGAAGAGGAAAAGCAAATAAAGGCATTACTGCTGCTGGGGCGGTTCGGCCAGAAAATCTGTCCGAACCGCCAAGTAACTTACTTGAAGTAAGTGTACAAGCGTGGTGGGCTAGAGAAAAAGTGATATCAGATATAATAGGTTACCAACGAGACTTACTAAGTGTATTTTATTACATACTTATCTCAAGAAAATGTTCGGCACGTTTTGGATACACACGAGAAATTAGCAATCGTGGAAATGGATGCCTCTCAAAACATCGCACGGTGTTCTGACGCAACGTTTTTCTTGACAAAATATCGAGCTAATATCGACACAAATATACATCATCCGACGTTAGTAATCGTTGTATACAAACGGTAGAAGACAAAATCGTACTGAAGTTAGCAATCCAACATTACACACACGTTTTACGAGGTTGCAAGAAAAACGTGGTCCGTGGGAATCGAACCTGCGCAATCTCGCATGATGGGCGGGCGCTCTACCAACTGAGCTGCACGAATCGGGCGGAGACGACTTTCAGAGACAGCACAATGGCGTGAATCTTGCCGGACTGCATCGCTCCGCTAGGTTTTTGTGACTTGTATAAAAGATTTAAAATTGTCGGGCCTGGGATTCGAACTTGCGGTCATTTTAAATCGGCTCCTTGTCGAAACTGTTGTGTTACATTTGTGCAGAGTAGTGCGTGCTCAACCTGTGTCGGGCTGCTACGTATGCTATTTAAAACTCAACGAAATTGAACGGCTAGGTCGCGAGAAGACGGCTTCATTTTGCCTATATACTCTAGCCGCAGGTAATGCCGGTTTGATTTTAGCGCGCGCCCGGGGCCCCCACCCCAGCGCGCGCAATTTTGTTAAGGCGTTGGGTTGGGTTTCTTGGCGAAACCGGCGCGGGATCCACCGAGCAAGATAAGATGTGTTGTGATACTGCAGCGAAAGTTAAGCTTAGCACATAGAGACATGTCCCTACAAGAGCATATGATATCGAAGGAGCAAATGAGTTCCATACTCCAGATTGGACACAATAGTGTTCGCTGAAGAGAATCTTTAGCTTCGCTATACGTTTCCTGCGAGGATGTTGTGGAGAGTCGAATGTTGCCCTTTCTGTGTAGTTTTTCGGTCGTGTACCTTTATGTTCATGTTTGTAGATTGATTGGAGATTTTTTCCCAGAAACTTCACAACCATGGCTGCCACTGGAGAGAAGACTCATATGTCCATCGTGATCTGCGGTCACGTTGATTCCGGCAAGTCGACCACCACCGGTCGTTTGTTGTTCGAACTCGGCGGTGTCTCCGAGAGAGAGATGGAGAAGCTTAAGGCCGAAGCCGACCGTCTTGGCAAGTCCTCCTTCGCCTTCGCCTTCTATATGGATCGCCAAAAGGAGGAGCGTGAGCGTGGTGTTACCATTGCTTGCACTACCAAGGAGTTCTTCACTGAGACTTGGCATTATACCGTTATTGATGCCCCCGGCCATAGGGATTTCATCAAGAACATGATCACCGGTGCCTCTCAGGCTGATGTTGCCCTCCTCATGGTTCCCGCTGATGGTAACTTCGGTACCGCCATTGCCCGTGGTAACCACAAGGCTGGTGAGATCCAGGGTCAGACCCGTCAGCATGCCCGTCTTATTAACTTGTTGGGCGTTAAGCAGTTGATTGTTGGTGTCAACAAGATGGATTCCGATGTTGCCGGCTACAAGGAGGCTCGTTACACCGAGATCCGTGATGAGATGAAGAACATGCTCGGCCGTGTTGGCTGGAAGAAGGACTTCGTTGAGAAGTGCGTCCCCATTCTTCCCATCTCTGGCTGGTGCGGTGATAACCTTATCAAGAAGTCCGACAAGATGGCCTGGTGGAAGGGTATGGATGTCCAGCGTACTGTCAAGGAGACCGAGAAGATTCATGTTGAAACCTTGTACGATGCTCTTGAGAAGTTCGCTACTGTCCCTAAGCGTGTTACCGATGCTCCCATGCGTGTTCCCCTTTCCGGTATCTATAAGATCAAGGGTGTCGGTGATGTTCTAACTGGCCGCGTTGAGCAGGGTGTTGTCAAGCCCAACGAGGATGTCATCTTCATGCCCACTCATACCCCCGCTACCCCCTGCGGCGGCAAGGTCTTCACCATTGAGATGCATCACAAGCGTGAGCAAGAGGCTTATCCTGGTGATAACGTCGGTCTCAACGTCAAGGGTCTCAACAAGGATAACATGCCCCGCGTTGGCGATTGCATGATCTCCAAGGCTGATAAGACTCTTCAACACATTGGTACCTTCACTGCCCAGGTCCAGATTCTGGATGTCCCTGGTGAATTGAAGGTCGGCTACTCTCCCATCGCCTTCGTCCGTACTGGCCGTTCCGCTTGCAAGCTTACCAAGATCAACTGGAAGGTCGGCAAGGAGACCGGTGGTAAGAAAATGGAGGATCCCCACTCCTTGAAGTCTAATGAGATGGCCGAGGTCGTCTTCGAACCTCTTCAGCATCTCGTGGTTGATACCTTCAAGCATTGTGAGGGTCTCTCTCGTGTTGCCCTTATGGAAGGTAATGGTGTTGTTATGCTCGGTAAGTGTGTTGCCACAACCCCTAAGGAGGTCAAATAATTGTCAAGAGGTTTCTTCTGTTGTTTGGTATACTTTCTACCGATCGTTGTGCATTCGTGAGCAGCCAACTGTTGTGTTGTTAGTAAGTGCAAAGTTTAGAATAACCGGTTTATTCGGTGGGAGGCAATTTGCCTGTGAACTACCCATGAGAGGATTATATCAGAAGTCGTTCAGGTGGATGGGGCAGTTATGCCAGTGAATAATAATGATACAAGCGCTGATAATAAACACCGATTTGATGCTTGGTTTCAATCATATCAGTAGTCGTTCAGGTGAATGGGGCAGTTATGCCAGTAGATTAGGATGATACAAACGCTGGTAATAACATTGATTCGATGCTTGGTTTCACATAAGAGCCACATGTCGGAAGTGTTTTGGGTGAATGGGGCAGTTATGCCAGTAGATTAGGATGATCCAAACGCTGGTAATAACATTGATTCGATGCTTGGTTTCACATAAGAGCCACATGTCGGAAGTGTTTTGGGTGAATGGGGCAGTTACGCCAGAGGATTAGGATGATACGAACGCTGGTAATAACACTGATTCGATGCTTGGTTTCACATAAGAGCCACATGTCGGAAGTGTTTTGGGTGAATGGGGCAGTTATGCCAGAGGATTAGGATGATACGAACGCTGGTAATAACACTGATTCGATGCTTGGTTTCACATAAGAGCCACATGTCGGAAGTGTTTTGGGTGAATGGGGCAGTTATGCCAGAGGATTAGTATTGCACATGCGTTAATAAACATACGCGCCGGGAAGGAACTTCCTTCCCGGCTGATGCGTGGTTCTCTGTGCAGGAGCGGACAAGCGGTGTCCATCCATATAAAATAGTTTTTGCTATCAGAAAACGCTATCTTTCCTGTCTAGGATCGCCTATATCTACTATAGGAAAGTCCACAGAGAAGCTACCTCAAATGCTCTCTAGCCGCGCCCACCTTTGCCTGTACGTCTCCAACGGCTTCGGGGCTCTCCCTGCATTCTTTCCAACTTCGTTACAGTCGGCAATGTAACACTGTGAGTCAAATGGTCTTCGGCGCACAGCATCACACTGCTCAGGCCGGTAACGAGAACTATGAAAAGGTCAGACACGTTCGACCTGCCGTTATCGTTCCGAAGACAAAGTACGGCGGATCATGTACAACCGGTAACACTGTGCAAGGCACACGTAAAGGCACAGTGTGCCACAATGTCGGTCAACTTACTTTCTTCTGCCACGCCATCGTCACAACTTTATTCCTGCAGATGCACGAATTTTCTAGTCGCCGGCGATCTACTCAAGGCTCGATTCGACAGGCGAATTGAGATCAATCACCATTTTGCTCATGACTGGTATCATCCACAACGCCAGACATGTATAACTATGCTCTTCTAGAGAACTCCTAGTTTGACCATGCCTAGCGAACCAGTGAACTCAGGTGTGGTCTCGACTGACTGGCGGCCCAACTTCAACTTACCATGGTTGTCCGCCAGCCTCTCCGAGAGTCCCGAGGCTGCCGAAGACGATAGTGGAATGATCGCTTGCCTTTGCCCAGGACTGAGCTTGAAGCAGAGGGTCTGTTCGTGGATAATCTGTGTTGGTAGTGCAGGGATGTAACTCAGGTTATAGGATGGGCCGTATGCTTTTCATTCGGGTTGCTAACGACGATAGCCTCAATGGGCTCTTTAAAGTGGTTAATGCTGGGAAAACCGCTGCGATTCGCACTCGCGTATGGAGGGCTTGAGCTCGACATTCACTACTGGTCATCAAGACTGATGATCTCAGTTACACAATCGGGAATCTCTGTGAGCTAGGTTCTACTGTTTTTCTAGTGGGCCCAGAAAGGCAATGGCGTAACATGAGTCAGAAGCATCGGGCCTGGGCAGCTTCAATGTGAGCGGAGAGGTCAGGCCCAGATTCCAATAGGAAGCGCCTTAGATACTTGATCTCGATGGTCATTACCCTGGTGATCTGCTTCAAATGGCCTGAGCAGCGGTTGCTGATCATCCTGTTAGTGATTACCCAGTGCTGTGCAGTGATTTGGTATGCTCTTTCCTATGTGCCTTATGGTCGGCATATGGCCAGAGCCGTCGGTAGCAGAGTCTCCTCGTATCTGCTCGAATGATTCAACTGTAATGTTTCATCTCAACGAGGCTGCCTCTGTTGATGTGAAGTGGAGGCAACTGAAGAGCCCTACACATAATCTTGGGATTTTTGACGGAGCGCTGCTCGGGCTCGCTCTGTTACAGACTTTCGTGAGTTGAGGTTGGTGTTCCCCCGCCATGCCAGGCTTGCGGCTTTTGGCTGCTTCCTTCACGTTCCCCGCCTTCTCTCGACCGCCGTGTGCGCTCATACAGCAGCGTGGCGTATCCTCAGTCAGACTAAAGCTGCGTCAGTGGATCTCAGCAGATCCAGATGGAGAAAAGAAACCGTTTGCTGAACGATGGAAGGACCGTATGAATCGCACATATCAGTGGTTCGACGAGCCCAAGCACACCCCCATCGGGGCCGGCTTCTGGTGGCTGCTAACGCATGATGTGAAGACTTTCTACAAGTGGGACTCAGCTCTAAGGCTCGCAGTATTTTCCCTTGTACTCTACTACATATATGCCGCGGTAATTAGTTTTGGAAGTGCTTCGCTCCGCTCATTTATGTTTGGTCAGTATAAGAATCTCAATTTCAAGAGGCGGGAGAGAATACCCGAGACTCCCCAGCAGAGGATGCAGCGACATCAGGATGAGCGAACGTCTCGTCAGGAGACTGCCGCCTTGCACAACACGTATCAGAATAAGATGCTGCAGGTCTAATATGCTATCGTCAGGACTCGGGGACAGTGGAGTTTCTCAGGAATGGCGCGAGGGATCGGAGGACCGCATAGCGAAAGTCTTGCAGCAGATAAAAAGGGAGCAGGAACTGCTAGAGGAGTGGGAAATCGTGGAAGTTGATGACGATGAAGATTCGAAGAGCGAGAACGGTAGTCTGTGAACAGTTATTTGTCATGCAGAGTTTCTGTTTGATGTTCCCTCTGTTGAGTGAAGGGTGGTAACGATTGTCGCTAATCGGTCAGCTTTGAGATGATTCTACATGAGATCTTCCCTGGAATCTTCATTGGAGATCAAGAGGCGGCTGATGCCTGTTTGAAGAGGTCCCGTCTCCGCAGCAAACGGGGCATCACGGCAATACTAAGATGCAACGCTGTAGTTGAAGGGGAAACCTTGGCAGAGGCTCCTGAGGGGATCGCTTTCGAATATGTGCCGCTATGGGATGATGGTAAGGACGACATCCTCCCGCATGTCGATAAGGCTGTGGGGTTCATGAAGTATTGTCTCGACCACCATGGCAAAGTGCTGGTCCATTGCCAGGCTGGCAGGTGCCGTAGTGCGGCTGTGATTTGCGCGTATCTGATGAAGGCATGGGGTCTCGACTTCGACCTGGTCGAAGGGATGGTCCATGAGAAGGAGGAGGGCATTGAGGTATCAGAGAATTTCAGGCAGCAGCTGAGGCAGTGGGGAAGCACGTACAAGTTTGACATGAGTCTCGACACAGAGGAGCACCGGCAGTATTGGGCAGGCAGAAGATTGGCTGATTCAACTGCCGAGGGGGCTGTGATTGAAGAGCCGAAGCAGGAGGGGTTCGACTGGCGGGGGGCTCTCCTCGAGTTGTATAGGGATGAGGTCGGGGAGGAGAGGCCTGAGGAGAAAGTGAACTTCCTCCTTAGTAAGGTGGTGAACGCTGAAGAGCCGCATGTGCTTTACCTACGTATCTGTCGGAAATATAGTCTTTCATTCGAAAGCCGACCGCAAGCAGTGCGAGAGGCAATCCTTGCTTTACGACCTGGGAGGGGGACGAGACGACGACTGCGATGTGGCCGGTGTTCGCGAACACTGTGTGGTGATATGAACATTGTTCATGGTGGAAAGGAGTGCACCAGCTACTTCATAGAAGTTATGGAATGGATGGTAGACGTTATTAAGTCGACCAACAGCGGAGCGGAGTTTGTCAGCACGCAGACGCTCCTGTGTACCTGTGGGGCCAAGCTGGGCAGTTGGAATTGGTATGGACTTAAGTGTAGCTGCGGAAAGTTCACAGCGCCGGCGATGCAGCTGCATGCATCGAGAGTGGACGACTTGCCGATACGGCCCGGGGAGGTTGTGAGCTTACCTAAACCTTATTATCCTACAGAATGACGTTTCTCTGACTTGGACTGCCTTGGGTTTGGTAAATTAAAGATTCGCCCTTTACTATAAGTTGTATTCTCTCTGATAACGGACGGGGAAAACCTCAGCGATAAAGTGCATCGTTTGCTCCTAACAAGCGGAACGTGTCTCTCACCATAGGGCGTTGAGTTGATCCGGTGTCGATCGTGATTTCGGAGTGGAGTGGTAAGATGTTTTAGCGCGCGCCCGTGCAATCGATTTCTCTCTTGCTTTCGTGGTGGTCGATGGCTAGAATTTCATACCACGCCTTCCTTAATTATCGATATGTTGTGGCCCTATGGCTGAGCGGGTTAGGTCTTCGATTTAGGTCTAATGACATTGGCTCAGTTGCTACTAGGTTAGTACGATACATTTTTCTTTAAAATGACCAAGGGATCCGAAACCACCATGAACACTCCCCCCAACGGTGCCTCCCCTGCGCAGACTGTGGGTGGCGCTCGTACAAACCTTCTGCATAGGAGGAACGTTGGTAGTAGTCAGAAGGCCGCCCCTGCATCGGGAAGAAGGGTAAGCAAC